CAATCATTCACAAAGCTGGGAAGAAGCAGAGTTTGTCCGTTTTAGCAGTTAGGAATCTAAACCAGCGCCTTCACAATGGTAAGAACATTAAAAATAAGTTAACATCCGCGCGGCTGGTTGGATAAAAATTATATTAAACTGAGTTTGTAGGCTAACAGAGACTTGAGCTAACAACGGTAGCATCAGACATCTTTAGCATGGTCACTAAAGTTACCTACCGGTAAGATCTGAATTAATTCTGAGGAAAATGCGAAGTTAGTTTTACAGTAAATCATTATTTAATTACTGATAATGTCCTAATGAATAATTTAGCTCTCGATTCTGGAGAATAAAACTAGAGAAAACCTGAAAGCTAAATGCTTAGCTTCTGCTACTCTTGAGCTAGCGTTGATTTTTGTGCAGGATTGTTTTTTTTTAACTCACTTTTTTGGCTTTGGTTTTAGTGTATTTCGTTTTTCAACGCTAGTGAGCGTGTTTAGTCTCAGCCAAAGCTCACTAGACACTGTGAGATTAAACAGACACTGACAGATTAAAATTTAAAGCGATGAAAACAGTTCAAACTGGATTTTCTAAAGCTACTGTCAGAAGCAAACATCAGCAACCTGCATCTCAGGAGCGCTGTTCTCCACTAGAAAACCTCATGAATTGACAAATGTATACATGCAATATTTCACACACTTTCTTACTGTTTATGTGGTAAGATGGTAGCTCTTGTGAGAGTTACACTTTTTGGTGTTAAAAATCTCTGCTTAGTCAGTATACGTTTTGCTTTTGATTTTATAATGTATTAAATAAACGCCATTTTTCCACTGTAGCCAGGTCAAGACTATTATTTCTACAGAAAAAACAGAATACATTTAGATACTTTTTAGACACAGAAAGGGAGAAAATACGAATATGACAAGTTATACCACAAAAACAATATCAGTAGATGTCAGTAGATGGTCTAATCCTAATAGAACAAAATCCAGGACTTTTTTTTTGGTGGTATTCTAACTAAAACACAGAAATTGATTTGTTATAAATGCTGTATACATGTTTGTCATTTTTGATACCCAGTGATTCAGTTTTATGGTAAGAGGAGACAGTGAAAATGTGAGACTTTTATCTTTAGTAGTTTTTCAGATATTCATGTTCATCCAAACTTTGGACCAAAAAATCTTCAGGAAAATCTGATGACCCCAGTCATTTGAGGTGATGTGACCCTTTTATAGATTTGGTTGATCGGGTGATTGATCCATTTTTGTCCTCCATCCTCTTCTTCTCTGCCAGTCTATTATGTCATATAATGGCGGGGCCGTCATGGCCATGCGGGGGAAGAACTGCGTGGCGATCGCAGCAGACCGGAGGTTTGGCATTCAGGCCCAGATGGTCACGACAGACTTCCAGAAGATCTTCCCCATGGGAGACAGGCTGTACATCGGGCTGGCTGGTTTGGCGACAGATGTTCAGACAGTGTGAGTGGGAATCTCGTCCTCTCAAAATGTCTTTTTTATGCCTTTATTTTATTTGCTCTGCTCGGAATCAGCTCATTGGTTAGCGAACTTTCAGCTCAGTTTCTTAAAGTTTGAAGTGAAGCAAAATATGTTGAAAGAAATTAAATACAAGGGTAAAAAGTGATTTTTCTGTGTCCTTTCCTCATGTTTTATTCTCATCCACCTGCACACAAGGAGTCTTAACTAAATGAGAAACCCTCACTTCGGAGACCAATTTTTTTTTTGAATGATGTTAAATATATGTGATATTTGGCACAGCTGGATCATCTCTCAGCCTGCTGCTGATGTATTTTATGATCACATCTTAACAGTTTGGCAGCAGCTCTTCCTAAAGGGTTTGTTCCTGCTGTCTCAGCCTGTACCTGGGAATAACTACAAAGTCATGTCAATGGGAGAAAAATTAACCAGGGTCCAGTTTAACCAGACTAAACATTGAGTGTGAAACCACCCAAATTTAATTACCACAGTCTTCGTGTTTGATAGCAGAAGATGGTTGTAACAGACTTTACTGAACTAATTTCTGATGCTGAATTAGGACAGATCAGTGGTCGAATGATTTCTTGTCATCCATCCCTTTTTGCAGAGCCCAGAGGCTGAAATTCAGACTCAACCTGTATGAGCTGAAGGAGGGTCGCCAGATCAAACCCAAAACCTTCATGAGCATGGTGTCCAACCTGCTGTATGAAAGGAGGTGAGTACACTGAACTGCCGAAAGCATGAATACTAATTTGTCTTTTGTTTCTGCCAGTTTGTTTGAACAATGAACTCAAAAGGTCACCTCAGTGATGTTCTGTGTTTATACTTGCACAACAATCTATTGGACCACGTACTCCTGGAGTCTGAGCTCGGTCCAGTCAGTACTTTAATGCGAATGTGGGAATGCTGGACACTTCTTCATGTCTGATTCTCTCATTAGGTTTGGGCCTTACTACATCGAGCCTGTGATCGCCGGATTAGATCCTAAAACCTTTGAACCCTTCATCTGCTCCTTGGATTTGATTGGCTGCCCCATGGTGACAGAGGACTTTGTTGTGAGCGGCACCTGCTCGGAGCAGATGTACGGGATGTGTGAATCTTTGTGGGAGCCGGATATGGTCAGTATTAAACCTAAAACCACCTGTACTTGGGTTTAGTTTATTTGTGTTCAGATAAGTCTGCAGGATTGTTAGTGAGCTTACCTTTTCTTTTCTTTTTTTAAAATTTAAATATCTGTAGTTTTAACTTACACTGTTCAACATCCAAGGAATTTAAACGCAACATGGTAGTTAAAGACGCAGTAATTCTTCTGAGGTGTTGAAACTCTGAGTGTTGATTTGAATTTTGTTCTGGTCGTGCAGGAGCCGGATGATCTGTTTGAGACCATCTCCCAGGCAATGCTGAATGCAGTTGATCGAGATGCAGTTTCTGGCATGGGAGTCGTCGTACATGTCATGTAAGTATGGCGTGCAGGTTTGCATCCACACTGTCTTTCAGCCATGGCTAGTGTAACAGGTGGGGCTTTCCCTGAATGAGGGGTCCGAGAAGAATTAATCTTATAGTGGTGGTACACATCCACAAGACCCATCATTTCTATGCTGCTTGTTCTTTGTCTGTAACTAAGCAACCAAGAGACAGACCTCAGTCTCCCCTCTTAATACTCCTCATTTATTTCTTCACCTTTCCTGCGTGGCTTTAACTTTTTCCCCTCTCCTTTGTGTTTTGGTAATTGTCTAAATGACCAGAAGTTTAAATCTCAATATGATTTAGACTTCCAGCAATTATGAAAAAATGACATGTTTGCACTAATTTTTGCTACAAAGATCAATTTATTTTTTGCTATAAATCACACCGTTGGTTTACAGCAGTGTTTTCACCCCTCCCTGACAGCTCAGTCTGTTTAGTTCAGCTCAAGACAAGATGACTGACAGAGGGTTGTTGGTCAATGAGGTCCAGAAGTAGGAAAAGGTTAGATGAATCTGTAGAAGTGTTACCCAATCAGCAGTTATGTGCATACAAGTCAGTCCACATGACAAACATAACAAAGTATGTATTTTGGGGCTGAGATCAGCGCAGAGCTGCTGGGTGGAGTCTGCAGTGATTGACAGCTGTTTTCTTTTGTCTGGCAGTGAGAAAGACAAGATCACCACACGAACCCTGAAGGCCAGGATGGACTAGAGCTCCTTCTTCTCTTCATACGTCATTAACTCAGATATTTTGTACAAAAATAATAAGAAATCCTTGTATTGTGTCTCTTTCCTCATTCGCACTGTTCAATAAATGAACTTAGGTTTAAACAATAAACACGACCGATGTCATTGTTGGAGGAACTTGTTTAATATTGCTTCTAATCTTAGAAATCGAGTTCACTGTCGAAATCAATGCCTCAAAGTGAAATCGCAAACTGATTGAATGAGCTCATCAAAATCCTTGATGAGTTGTTAAAATGCTGTAACAAGTTACATTTTTAAGGATTGAGGGTGAACCACAAAGTTTAGACTTCACCTTTGACATTTGTGCCACTTGTTCCTTCAGACCTTCACCCTTGATAACACACCTGTGTGGAGTAGTGGAAGAGCAGTTGAGGGTTCAAGTCCAATCAGGCACACCTTCCAGGAAAGCTCACCAAGAGCACACAAGTCTCCCACAGAATATGATGATGTAGTTTAAGGCACCAGTGGGAAAGATGTTGAAAAAGCACAGAAAGAAAACAAGCCCCTTAAAATGCCATTTACAGAATATTAAACTCACATAATGTCAATATGAGCTCAAGAGGGCTGGACCAGTAAAGCCATTACCTATAAAAAAGGAAAAAAACCTTTTATTTGTTAAAGTAGTACACATTTAATCCCCAAGTTACAAAAAGTGCAGTTTCAACAATTTTTTTCCACATTATAAAAGAAATACTGCTGTAGTAAATCACAGGAAATGCATACAAAAAATGCAGAGACTGCCCAGTAATCAAAACCGTTTCATGCCAATTCACAAAAATATCCTGTTCTTACTGTGAACCTACTGTATTTTTATATGCATGTAGTAAATACTCAAACATGAACACTTCTGTCATTTAACAGTTTTTCTTCAGCTGAGCCACAGGCCATGTAAGAAGGCTGTAGAGTTGACAAAACAAAAATACTTTGCCCTCCTAATTTTCACATTTTCCAAAATCATCCAAATGACCCCCAGACCGTTGGGATGACAGCCTGGGTTTAAAGCAAACTGGAATTTTTCCTGGTTCCAGAGTCAAAATCAGGCAGGAAGTTTTCACCTGCCATCCAACAGCACGTTGGATTAATGGTGCCCATCTGGCCTCTGGACACGCTCACAAAACAGCTTCTTAATGTAAAGAGTTTGTAACAGTATAGCAATAAGAAAAAAAGCATAATAGATTCACTAGTGTAAATGCAGTCTGGACTAATAGTTCTTATTGGTATAGTAATCAGATTACATGTAATCCATTACCCACCAAAGCCAAGTGTTACAAATATGAGACCCAAGAAGCAGAAAGAAGCACAGCCAAACCACAAAAACAAGATAAAACTCCCTTTAATATGCAATGAATCATTTTCAAGTAACCTTTTTTCCTAATGTCTGCTGGTAACAAAACAATACTGTATACAAACACAAAGTTGCTACATTAATGTAAACAAGATATAAAAATGATCCTTATGGTAATAAAACAAGTATTTGCTGCAGAATACCCTTTTTAAAGTGAATGTTTTTGTTGTTTTTTTGTCCTCTTTGACCGACCTCCACCAAGTTCACGGTTAAATTGGAAAAATATTCAGAAACAATATGGCAACAGAACATTCAAACACGGATTTTTTTTTCCTTTTTTTAAAAAGTTTTAGTCGTAACACTCAGATGCCAAGTTCAGTGGTTCGATGTTTCAACTGGTGGAGTCTCATGTACAAGTCAGCCATGCATTTTTTTGATATTGCATTCTTTTACTTAATACACCATTATATATTCATGTGTTCATCACCCTGTCGTTCCAAATCCATCAGAAGAACTTGTAAAAAAAACAAAAGAAAAATTGTTACCGAGAGAGAAGCCTGATGGCGACTGTCGAAGAGTTTGCCATGCAATCAGACCTTTCTTCATCTGCGTGTGTGCTGCATGTGTGCGTGTATGTCTAATAGAAATTATAGGAACAACAACAACATGAACAGAAACTAAAGAGACTCTACTAACGAACTGGTAACTGCTGAAGCTGACACACTCATTCAAGGCATTAGTGAGACAGTTTCCGTGCTGGCGTGAGGAGCAACAAGGTGGCTGAAGGAGAGCAGGTTCTTTTTTTGTTGTTTGTTTATTTGTTTGTTTGTTTTTTAAGAAAAACACCACAGGGAGAATACCAGGAACCAAATTCAGTGAGAGGGGTTCACAGGTGGAGTCGGGATAGTGTAACAGGCTTGATGCTGAGGAGAGGTGGTTTAGTTTTAACGATGGGAGACTGACCTACACTGAGGTGAGGGAGGAGAGAAACGTGTGTGTGTGTGTGTCTGTGTGCGCGTGGGCGTGGCATCTGACAGATCTGACAGGGAGAGACCAGCTGGCTGGACTGGAAGATGATGTTTACGATAAGATGTTGGACATGAACTCGTAGAATCGTTTGGAGTACTGCTCCGGGTTCACTGTCGAGATCTCGGCCCCCGCCTGGGAACAAGAAAATAAACATAAACACGATTTAGATGAAGTGACACATGTGATAAAGCACACAGCACCCGCATTTCAAGAGAAAAAAAACCAAACCTTTCAGGGAAAACCACACACAAAATCCGTTACCACGGTGACTGTGTCAGACAAAGCGATAATAATTATAAAAGCAGTCTTTAAATGACAGAGACATTAGACTACAGGCTGCGGCGATCAATCGCGCCATGTGATTAACGTCATCAGGAAGGAGGTGGTGGTTAGAAAGAAAGGCTTTCAGGCCACGGGGCCACGCCTGGGCAGCGTTTGTCTCGCCGTGTTTACAGCGGCACACAGCTGAGCAGCAAGACAAACCGTCGGTGGCGAGCAGAGCGCTAATCTTAACACTCACCCCATGTTTCACAGTTTTGGCAGCATGTGCAGCTTTTTTCTTAGCGTCATAGTGTGTGAGAATGTCGATGATAGCCATGAAGTATACCTCCTTCTTCACAGCACCTGTGGAGAACGCCACGAGGAGATTTTATTAAAACAAACAAAACAGCCGATAAAGACGGCGTTAATCTGCTGGCTGCGAATTTCAATAACACTCATGTTAAAGGCGGCGCTCACTGTCATGGCTCTTGATCGCGTAAACATCCACAGAGGGGTCGAACTCCCCGGGGCCGAAAAACCCGCCGCAGTTCAGAGGGTTTCCGGGACTGTCGGGAGGCGTGCCGAAAGAGCCCGTTAACACGCCTCCTCCCATCCCGTCGTTCTCGTACTCCTCGTCCTCCCCCGTGCCCTCCACGTCCATCTCCTCTTGCTCCGCCCGCTCCACATCATGGATGCCCACCAGGAGACTGTAGTCCATGATCTTCAGAGTGGCCAGGAACTAAAACACACAGGAAACACTTGGTTCAAAACCTCTGCATCTCTGCACAGAGCAGTCGCCGTTCCGGTCTTTCAGACTAACGTTTGGAATCATTTTACAAATTAAATTTCAAGTAACAGCTGTTAAAATATTCATCTCACCGGTGTGATGGTTAAATAAGTGAGGCGTGTTTACAGACAGTAAGGTTTCAGAAACATTTACTGATTATACCAGCAGGAGGCTGATTTGAACTTTTAGTTTTTTATCTTTAGAAATACATGTTGTAGCCAAGGGGGAAAATAAAAGTCTTCGTCAGGCTTTATGCAGTCATGTGGAAAATTAAGTACACCTCATGAACCACTTTTAGCAACAATAAGCTGAAGTAAGAGTTTTCTGTATGGCTGCATCCGTCTCTGACATCGTTTCTTTAGCTACAGCTCTCTTCAGGCCCCAGTGCAGCATTTCAACCAAACTGAGGTCTGCTCGATAAAAAAAGTTCTAGTGGCCCGTCATCATTCTGATGTAGATTTGCTGCTCTGCTTAGCATCACTGTCCTGTCACTATGACTCTAGAATACTTTGGTATACAGAGTTCACGGCCCACTCAATGACTGCATGATCACCCCTGCACCACCACGCTGACAGGTGCATTTCTCCAAACACGGTGCAGAGCATCAGAACCTTCCTCTTGGCAACCCTTCGAAACAAGCCACACTTGTTCTGTCTCTTCCTGATGATACTGTCATGAACTTGTGCATTTAACATGCTAACTGTAGAGCCTGAATTGGAGCGCTTGGGTTGTTTTAAGATTACAAGCTAAAATGAGAGCGCATTAACAGAAAAGATCCAAACTGGAGTTCAGACTTTACATAAACTAATCAATAAAATAAATTATATTTAGGCTTACTCATGCATAACGTTTTAGCGCAGGGAGCCTGTTAACAAAAACAATCTCAGCATTTATGCTGGGTGAAGCGGTTTCATTCCAGAGCAGGAACAATGAAAGCCTGAATGTGTGTTTTACCTCTACATCCCGTTTTAGCTTTTCCAAAAAGTACTTTTTGTTGTCGTCTCCTATCTGCAGCTTGTGGCCTTCATTCAAGAAGTCGTTGTCTTTGAAAGTGGGGAGCTCTTTCGCCTGAAGAGAAGAGGGGGTGGTGTTATGAAGCTGCAGCAGGAGCCGTGTTTTATATTCAAACCAAACCTGTTTTTAAATGCTAATGAAAAACTCAGAGGTGCCGGGGCCCACCTACATCATCGGCTGCTGACTTTCAGCGTGCACTGATGTTAACATTCATATTCATGCAGTCATGATTACAACCATGTGACAGAGAAAATACACAAATTTAAGTCAAATCATGCTGACAGCATCTGCTTACATACAAGCACTTAATTTTAGCAGCAGTATGACAGGTTTGCTTGTGGGGTGAGCTAAGGCCATCTATTTTTATCCCATCGTGTCAGCAGACATCAATGCACAGAAATAAAGCCCACCTTCTCCTTGTCGCTGGCTTCCCTTGAGACTGTCGAACCCTAGAAAAGATGCAAAATAAGAATAAAAATAGAATGAGCGAGACACATCAGAGGAAGCATTAGCATATTTGCACACAGCTGTCAGTATTAGAAACACAAAGATGCTTTCTCCTGAGGATACCGGCATGAAAGGAGGTGTGTGCCGATAAGCACCGATTAAAGAAGTGAGCTACATCCACAGTCATCTTCATACAGACCTAGTTCAATCCTTGGGTAGCAATCAGGGATGCAAATATCGAGGAATCTGTCTGGTTAATAGTTACAGAAAAGCCAAAAGAAACTGGATGTTTTAAGATTACATTTATTTCTAAAGTTTATAAATTATGGCCTTCAATTAAAAAATACTTCCTTAAAAGAAAAATTATCAATCATTTCTTCACCTTCGCACAGATTGTGATTAATCCTTTACTGTTTTTTATATATTGTATTGTAGCCACAGACAGTTTAAAAGACAAGTGAGTAGAAGATGAAGACACCGTGCCATTTTTACTGGCCACCAGGGGGCGATACTTGGTTCCAAATAGACTCCAGCTTGTGTGGAAGTGGATGGTAAAAAGTCCCACAGCCTCCTTTCTCTGTGACTTCAGTAAAAATCCTTCCTGAGTTTATGGGATTAAGTCTTATTCAGCAGATCATTAATTCCATTTTACTAAGCTATTGTCATTTTAAGAGCCAAAAAAGATTATCTGGGGTATTCTTAATGGCTTCGCTGTTAGTCACAAGCCATTAATCGATGATTGTGCAGTTTCTCAGATGGACCTTTCGCTCTCACATCCGGTTTCAAAACACCAAGATGGCAACAGCAGAAGTTATAAAGACAACCGAACTGCGTTGAAGTGTTTCAGCTCTTTGTCATGGCCTTCATCGTTTAGAGCTGCGCTAATGAACAACGATCGGCGGAACTGATGACAGCAGGATTGCTAATCAAAACAGTATTATCAGTTAAACATTACATTTAATCTCCCTCACTGTAGCTTCATCTCAGCATCTCAACAACACTTTGGACACAATAGTTTTATATTTTTATGCTGCTTTTATAGTGAGTTGAGAATTTGTCATGATTCGGGGGGAAGACGTTCCTCGCTGTTGGTCTGATTTGAAATGAGATGGGTCTCATGGGCCTGTGTATTTGCAGAGACACTCGTTTATCTCTTTAACCCTGCATGTGTTGGTCAAAGAGTCTGCTGTGTGTGGGGAGGGAAAGGCATTTTATACCAGTATAATCACGAGCATAGATCCCCAAACAGTGCTTTCATTCCCAGGAGACTCCTGGCTATATGAAATTGATTTATTGTCTAAAAATATTTTACTGCCAAAGAAAAAAAAAAGTTCAGGAGGTAGAGCAGGTCATCTACTAATTAGAAGCCTGGCGTTTTGATCTCCGATGCTCCCGTCTGTATGCCAAACACCCAGCTGCTCTCTGATGGATGGAAATGTCAGAAAATACTTGAGCATAGAAAAAAGCTTGTATGAATGAGGCCTGTTGTAAAAAGCACTTTGAGTGCTCAGAGTAGAAACGCACTTTACAAGAACCGGTCCATTTACCACAAGTGCTTAAATGAACACATATTGTTAAATAACCCTCAAGTTTTAAAAAAATGAAAGCCAAATTATGAAACTGAGTTTCATGAACGTATGCGAGGCCGTAAATGTGGCGTAAAGCTCTCTAAAAGGATGATGAGACTCGTGTGCATGTGCGGCGTAGCCAGCGTACCTACCTTCAGGTCGTATTTGCGGTGTACGGTGAGCCGATGGCTGAATACATTCCGGGTCACCACCATGTACGTCTCCACCCCGTCCACCGTTAGCCTGTACATGCCCAGGAACTGAGGGAGCAGCGTGTTGCCATGACACTCCACTATAAACTGGAGACGGCCAGGGGAGGCGAGCACAGAGAGAAACAGGAAGTGTGGGGGTGAGGAATCAAATACACGCAGAATACAAGCTGATTAAAAGTGAGCGCAGCTTCGTTTCTGTGTTTAACTTTAAAAGGCAGAGATCACGCTCTCCTCCAACACTCCTGTTGGGACGGGAATTATTCTGCTCATTTCCAGCGCCACGCGTTTATTCCTGGACTCTGCTAAGCTAGCTTTGCACAATTCACAGCTCAGAATAATCCTTCTTTATCTTATGGCCATGCTGCAGATCCAAGCAATCTGTTTTAGCTCCTCCTACTTCAGGCTTAATTTCCTCCTGATCTGCTGGGGCTGATATGTCCCTAAACTTTTATATTCTCTATGACATCATAAAAAATAAATACTGGTGCCGGTGTATAAACACCTGTGCTATCAATTTGAAACTCCTACGTCGCTTCATTCTCGAGTTCTTCCGTTCACACACCTGTGTCCACTCCGCCCGCCCTGCAGGGCGACAGCAATAATCCATCAGCCTTTTACGGCCGAGGGGTAAAAAGTGAAGCTGGGCGTTTCACCTAATTTGTTGTGTTATTCTTCACCACTGACTCACACCAGATTTTGCTTGACAACAGGCTTCAGCCCTGCATGGCTTTAAACTGACAAGCCAATTGTTTTACAACATGTTTGACTTATTGGTTTTTAATCTTCTGTCCGTGCGTATATGACTGTATTTTACTGTGCGCGTTATCTGTGGCTTAGCGAGAGCCACCTAAACAATCACAGGGATTACTTGTACAAACGCGACCTCGTTATTTAAAACCTCGACCATTTCTGTAACAATACATGGACAGAAAATAAATTAATAACAGGTTCTCTTTATCTTTAGATTCAAATCTAGATTAGAAATTATTTAACAAACTGATGCTCCTGAATTTTTCTCCTCACACCCGACACGTGAGCACATTTCAATACTAGGATAATGAATCACAATAAAAGTCTGGCTCTGCAGTTCCTCGCAGCGGTGCCTCTACCTGGTGATATTTCTTTAGGATGTTGTGCATCTCAGCGATGTCCTCACTGGACACGGTTTTGATGACGAAGCGGTGGTCGTAGCTGGACAGGATGCGGTTGCCGAAGCGGCCCTGGGTGTCGCTGTTGAGCGGGGCGCTCCTGGTCAGAGAGTTCTGCCAAACCAAACGCAACAAGGTGGATTAAGCTCCTGTGAGAGCGAATGAACATTTCTGCTTGTGCGTCAGTGTCTGAGGTCTCACCTGGTAGTCCTGGTCATCAATGCAGAACCTCTCCCTCAGGTTTCTGAACACCATGGGGCAATACTCTTTAAACTTAAAGCGACTAGGCAGGTTTTCTCTGGCAGGAGAGACGAACAGAGTCAACACAATCTAAAACGAGGAATTAAAAATCACTGACTTCAACTTTTTTTGCTCGCTGTTGGATTTATTTCTGCTTCTCTGGAATCAGACTGAACAAAGAGATAGTGTGAAGTTGTCATTTGCAGTACAGCAAAGGGCAGAAAACAGAGAACTCACTCAAACTGATTTAAATGTAAAGATCTCAACAGCATTATTGCCCTGATCACTTATGAAAAACAAACAAAAAAATAGATTTTTAAATGCTCATGTATAATGTGATGTGGTTATTAATGCAGCCACAAATCAGATATTTCTTTATGTTGCACTGCTTGTCCTCACACTGAAACCACTGCAGAGCCTGATGCACTGGGATATGGACCATCACAGTTTACAGCTTATAAGTGAGAAACGAGCTCTCCTGAGTAAATAAAGCACTTTGGAAACTGAAATGAAACTTAACTAGTTCAGATCTTCTGAACTTTTTCGCTGATGTTGAAAAAAGAAACAAAACAGCACACTGATTCATTTTAGTTTCACTGAAGGCTCAACCCAGAGCAAAGAAATGGAGCCAATGTGGAAGTGCCAAAAGTTACAGTTCCTCTAAGAGCCTTCCACATACAATGCACCGCTGCACTCTTACATCTATTCTTTTCTACTGTTTGCGCCACACAAGAACAGTTTCCTGCTGGGAAACACTTACATGTGCCGCTGCCAAACTTCCACACAGGTTGAACTTTGACTCCAAATTTAAAAGTTTACAGCAAATTTAAGCATGTTGGTATGAAAACCAGTTTCAGCTTCTATGGATAGTTTTCTAACAACTCTGAATATTGTGAGGTTTTGTAACGTATCCACCTGGATGCTGTGGTTTAGGGGTGTCACCACTGTGATTGATAGAAGCAGTTAGAGCCGGTCTCTGTCTGCTGGAGCAAAACTCTGCTACTCCGAGTCAAACTGGACCTTTTCTGTGTGCGTGTGCTGCTGGTGCTTTCTGAAGCATGTCTTAATCAACTATCAGGATAAAATTAAGGCTTGCTGTGAGGTACAGACTATCCAATGAGTGAGATCACGGCGTCCGAGTCCATCTTTTATACAATCTGTGGCTTTCGCGATAAAAGCCCTTTTTCCATTAGTACCTACTCAGATCGACTCAACACGGCACGACTCGGATCGACTCGTTTTCCATTACAATCTAGTACCACCGAATGTGCATGGGGTCGTTATAGCAACGCAGCCAAGAGTCCCACAATTAGCATACGACACGAAGGCTGAACATCGAGGCAACGATACACCTGCTGCTCGGTCGGCTTTACGTCAGACTCGGGCTTTGGGTTTTTTTTTGCGATTTCCCTCGTTGTTGGGTTTGATTTTCGCAAACGACATTCATGACTCATCGAGGCACGACACTGACTAACCAATCGGTGGCATGCAGTCTGTCGATGTCACACTTTTGGATCACCTCGGATTGCGTGGAACCCCAGCAGAGTAGGTGCCAAAAAAAGTATCTGGTACCAAGTACGATCACTTAAAGAAAACCCTGAAAACTGAGGCGAGCCGACCCGAGTAGGCACTAATGGAAAAGGGGCTAAAGGCTCCACCTTCAGCTGATCGATCTACAACAATGGATCCAGTCCAGGTGAGGTGTGTCAACACTGTGAAGGATACTGGCCAATGTTTATTCCCTAAAATCAACCAGTCCTGTAGTATAACTTGCATATAATGTAATATGTGATACTACAAGGATTTTAGGCATTAAAAGTTGCTGTTGTTTTAGATCGACTGTACAAAATACATTTTATAACAGCTGTAAAAGCGCTCAGGCAGCCCTTAAAGGACGAGCATACCTGAGCAAAGAGACCAAACCATCTGCACCTTAATAATGAGTCAAACGCTTAAAAACAAACAAACAAAAACCTACACAGAATTCATTAGTGGGGGTGCAAAACACTGCTAAATGTGAGCAACAAAGTGACTCATCTTTGGGGCAGCATTGGCTATATTTCAGTGATGTTTTTTTAATTCCACATTGTTTTGTCCACTCCTGCATGCAGGACCGTGGGACGCATTTCTCTACCTCAGCCGTGCAGGGGTTAAGAAAACAGTGCAGAGTTTCAGTGTTCCCAGGTTGGTACTTTGCAGTGAGGATGATTTAAAGCGTTCAGATGAGCTTCAACAATAATGTGTCTAAATGCAACCTCGTCCTGCAATAACATCCTCACCGTGGATTCAGATACCAGGGCGTTCGGAGGGCTGCTTTGTACCTCTGACAGGATTTCATGAATGCAGAAAGTTAAAGCAACAACCTGCAATCTCTGACCAGCGAGCAGACTTGCAGAGTCCTTTTATGAGGAGTCAGTCTATCAGAATCAGAAGGTGTTCTGAACCCTGCTGGAGCCTTGACACTTTTGTTTACTTGTGGATTACGGACTGTGCCTAAGCTGTGATGTACCTACTTGTTAAATAGGTGGTTGTCCACTTTGATCTTGCTGTAGGCTTTAAAGTCATCTGGCATCAGCATCACTGGTACAGGCACATTACTTAACTCGTTAATCTGAAAGAGGGAAGTGAGAACGAGAGAGAGAGAGAGAAATGAGGAAAGAGCCTGAAGAAGAGTGCAAACAGCTGAACAAACAGACTGCACAATTACTGAGGAATAACACAAACCAAGGGAGCAATATTGGCTTTTGCAATTTTGATCTGAGCACAAAACCAATAAAAAAAAACAAAAAAAAAACAGACTCCTACACAAAGTACTCAGTGAGTAGTGCAGGTTAATTTATAGAACAAAGCCACGACTACCTGTAACACAGCTCAGTATTTCAAAGCCGTTTCAAATCTCTGACAGTGATTAACTCGGGGACCAAAGAACACGCAGGCAGGTTTTCTTGCTGCTGCTGCGCCTCCAGACACTCGGCTCATTTACTGAAACTCATCCAGAGCAAAAGCGCAGTGATGAGCTCCGGAAAAAACCTTGAAAATCGCATAAATCACTTTATAGAGTGATGAAAAGGGACAGCACACAGTCACGGTGCTGCCATTTAGAGGAAATAAGTTCTTCTCATACTGGAAGTAAACAACACAGTCGGGTATGCACAAATAATCAGCTGATACTGGCTCTGCTGACTGATTATGGGATGTTAGACGCTGAAATTTGTTACCAATTTTGTGCTTCCTTAAAGTTCAAACGCTGCGATCAACGTTTTAAAGGTCGTCTAATTTTAGTTTTTCGTCACGCAGAAAAATGAATATGTTTGGTTACTTTGTAACTTTTTTTTGTTTGAACCCATGAAGTGCCAACGTCGCCTGTGTTCAGTTTAGTGGAAGACGATCCTCTTGCTCTTATTTTGAAAGTTCAGCTCACATTTGGTTTAAAGTTCCCTTTAAGCTGCGACTTTCTGGAGGAAATCAAAAAAA